CTTTCTACTGTTTATGATGATTTTAATAGAAAGACTTGTGTATATTTTTAAAACAAAATTAGATATTTTTGCTACTTTTAAAATTTTAAAATATTTGCATAAAAAGATTGTAGTTGTGAAAATAGATAGAGGAGGTGAATTTACTTCCAAAGAATTCCATGATTTCTGTTAATCTAATGGAATTCGTCACCCTTTAACATTTCCAAGATCACCACAACAAAATGGAGTTGTAGAAAGAAAGAAAAGAATTGTTTTTAATATGCTAAAAGCATGTTGAAAGCAAAAAACGTGCCCAAGAAATTTTGGGCCGAAGTAATTTTTTGTACAGTCCATTTATCTAATAGGTCTCCAACATCGAGTTTGAAAGACATGACTCTCTAAGAAACATAGAGCAAAATGAAACCTAATGTCAATCATTTGCGAGTTTTTCGAGGTATAACATATGCTCATGTGCCACAATAAAAGAGATCCAAACTCGATGATTGAAGTGTCAAACATATTTTCAGTGGGTATGATGCAAACTCAAAAGGCTATAAATTGTATAATCCAAGCAATGGCAAGATCATGGTAAGTAGAGATGTTGAATTTAATAAAAAAGTGGCTTGAAATTGGGAGAAGAAAAAAGAAAATGCTTATGATTTCTTTCCACACTTTGAAAAGGAAGACCAAGAGACCATGCTACCTTTGCAAGAGGCAACTTAACCTCATTCTCCAACTCATGTTGCATCACCCATTTCTTAAGAAAATTTAAGTGAAAGGCCATGAAAGTTGAAGAGCATTCAATATCTTTATGATGAAACTGAGGAGATCATTAATTTTGATATAAATGATTTACTTTGTCTTTTTCTTGATAGTGAACCAATGAATTTTGATGAAGCCATTAAAGATGTAAGATGGAGACAAGCCGTGGAGGAAGAGATCAAATCCATATAAAATAATAACACATTAGAGCTATCCACTCTTCCTAAGGGACATAAAGTTATTGATGTCAAATGGATCTATAAAGCTAAAAAAGATTCTCAAGAAAATGTGAAAAGGTACAAGGCAAGACCGGTGGCTAAAGGATACAAACAAAAGTATGGGATTGATTATGATGAAGTTTTTGCACCAGTTGCTCATATGGAGACTATTCACTTGTTCTTGGCTATTTTAGCTCAAATAAAGTGGAAAAAAATTTCAACTTGATGTAAAATCTGCATTTCTCAATGGTTATCTTAATGAAGAGGTTTATGTAGAACAATCATTGGATTTCATAGTTGAAGAGCATGAAGATAAAGTGTCAAAATTGAAGAAAGCTTTGTATGGGCTAAAGCAAGCGCCAAGAGCATTGAATATCCGTATAAACAAATATTTTAAAGATAATAAATTTGTTCGTTGCCTTAATGAATATTCTCTTTATGTGAAATATCATTCTAATAGTGATATTCTATTTATGTGTCTATATGTAGATGATCTCATCTTCACGAGCAACAATCCAAGTTTGTTTGAAGAATTCAAGAAAAACATGTTACTTAAATTTGAAATGACTTATATTGGGATGAAGCAAATGAAAGATGGCATTTTTATTTCTTAAGAAGGTTGTGCAAGAAAAGTTTATTTTAATTCAAAATGTTTAATACA